CCAACCTCCCCCCCCCCCCGCAACTATTAATCTAGTTTCTGTTTCTACATTTGTGTATTCTGAACATTTCATATAGCTGAAGTCATATGTGGTCTTTTGTTACTCTTCTCTCACCTAGCACAGTATTTTCAAGGTTCATCCATGTTGGTGCATATATGTACATCATTCCTTTTTATTGCCAAATGTTACGTTGTGTGGATATGCCACGTTTTGTTTTTATCCTTTCATGTTAATAGACATTGTGGTGTTTCTACTTTTGGGCTACTATGAATAATGCTGCTATGAGTATTCATGTACAAGTGTTTGTATAGACATTTTCAGTTCTCTTGGGTGGAATTACTCTGTCACATGGTAACTATATTTTACCTTTAGAGAAGCTGCCAGACTATTATTCAAAGTAGGTGAACCATTTCTATTTCTCAGCAGCAGTACATGAGTTCCAGTTTGTCCACATCCATACCAACACTTTTTAATTATAGCCATCATAGTGAGCAAGAAGTGGTATCTCATTGTGGCTTTTAAAAAAAAATTTTTTTTTTTTAATTTCAGAGAGACGAAAGGAGAGGGAGAGAAAGATAGACACATCCATGATTGGCTGCCTCCTACAGGCCCCCTACAGGGGGATCAAACCCGAAACCTGGGCATGTGCCCTGACGGAATCAAACCAGCAACCTCCTGGTGCATGGGTCAACATTCAGTCACTGAGCCACACCAGCGGGCTCATTGTGGGTTTTGGTTGCATTTCCCTGACAGTTGATGATGTTGAGCATCCTATTAGCTATTTCTGTATCTGTTCTGGAAAAAGTAGCTATTCAAAACCTTTACGGACTTTTTAAATTTGAATTGTCTTTGTATTGTTGAGTTGTGAGAGTTTATGTATTCTGGATTCTCATTCCACTGGTGACCATAAACGTGAAGGTTTTATTTGGTTTCTATTCCATTAACCAATGTCTATCCTGTGTGAGTACCACGTGATCTTGTTTACTATAGTTTTGTAGTGTTAAAAAATAAATAAATTTGAAGATATAATTGACTGTATTGAACAGATCCCGTCTAGTCTAGTAAATAGAGAGGTGCTCCAGGAAGTTGGAGAAAATTAGTATAATAATATTGCATGTTGCCCTGGCAGGTTTGGCTCAGTGGTTGGAGCATCAGCAGTGGACTGAAAGGTCCCAGGGTTTGATTCTGGCCAAGAGCACTTACCTCAATTGCAGGCTCCATCCTTGGCCCTGTCGAGGGGGCTTTGGGAGGCAACCGATCAATGTATGTATGTCTCTCTTCCCCCTTCTTCCTTCCAGTCTCTGAAAAAGCAATGGAAAAAATACCTTTGGGTGAGGAATGAAAAATAAATTTTAAAAAGTCTTTTAAATAATGTTGCATGTCAGTATAATAGAAAAATTAAATAAGTGGAAGATGGGAAGGATTTTTATAGGAAACTGGTTGGGGCAAGAAAGTTATTAACGAAAGGAAGGATTGTTTCCGGCAAGATCACCTGACTTCGGGGGAAGGGCTGCAGGGGTCTTTTCAGGCAGATTATCTCACTAATTGTGATCAAGAAATTCCACTCCCATGACGGTCTGTAGCTGCAGTTAAGTCTTGCTTTGCTGTCTTGGGGGCAGCTGACCTCACATTTAGCCTGTTAATTCTTTTTCTTTAACAGGACTAGTCAGTTTTGAAATTGGAAAGTATGAGTCCTCCAACTTTATTCATTTTCAAATTGAATGTTAGGATCAGGTTCTCATTGCCTGCAAAGAAATCTGGATTTTGGTAAGGATTGCACTGAATCTTCACATTAGTCTCCAATCTATGAATGTGAATTTTTTCCC